TTACCAATCAGTTTATCGATGAAGTGACATGGGATATAGTCCCCTTGATATTTGTCAGGTAATACTTGAAAGTCCTTATTATAGGACCAAGATGATATTATTATGGCAAGCTCAAAGAATTCAGTTTACTAAAGAAGGAAGGAAATATCTTTTTCTGATGAAAAGATGACATATATTAGTGACATGTCAAGCCAAACGGATGATTAACTCATCAGAGAAGTTTGTATTACTATTTATATGATTTTCTAAAGATGAAGAATGCACAAAAGCAATCAATATTGTTAATCCAACTCACGTGACTATCACTAAGCTATCTCAAAATAATAAAAAAAAGAGATAACAAAGTTGTGCAGAGAATTTCTTGATCTATTTTCTGAAGAATAAGGTCTATCATCAAAGCAGAAAAGTGGAATGCGAGATTCAACTCATCTCAGATTCTTTGCTTTCGAATTTAAGCATGTATCAATATTCTATAGTAAAGAATGGAGAAATAAAGAAGCAAGTGTCTGACTTGCTTAAGAGTGGTGTTATAAACCCAAGCAATTCACCTTGTGGATCACCAGTGGTTCTTGTTTCTAAAAAAGATGGTAGTTGGCATATGTGTATTGATTACTGCACCTTGAACAAAATCACAGTGAAGAACCAATACCCTCTTCCTAGAATAGATGATCTTCTATATTAATTAAAGCATGTCTATTATTTTATAAAGTTGGATTGAAAATTTGGTTACCATCAAGTGTGAATCCAAGAAGAAGATACTTAGAAGATAACTTTTAAGACAAGACAAGGTTTGTTTGAGTGGCTAGTCATGTCATTTGAACTTTGTAATGCTTTTGCTACATTTATGCAATTGATGAATGATGTCTAGCGATCTTTCATTGATCAATTTGTCAGTGTGTTTATCTTGATGACATTCTCATCTACAACCGTACTTAAGAGGAACACTTAGATCATTTGAGAAAGGTATTTGAATTGCTAAAAAAATATGAATTCCGTCTTAATAAAAAGAAGTGTAAATTTCGACAGAGATCATTTTTATACCTTGGATTTGTTGTGGGTAATGGTGAATTGTAAATCGACCCAAGAAAAGTAAAGACTATTAAAGAGTGACCCTGACCAACAAATGTCACTGAAGTTCAAAGTTTTATGGGAGCTTGTCAGTATGTTAGAAAATTTATTCAGAATTTCTCTATGATAGTCGCTTCCTTACATGAATTAACAAGGCAAATCGATGGTTTGACTAAACTCAGAAATGTGAGGCAACGCTTCAGCTTCTAAAAAAGAAGATATGCGAGACGTCTGTTTTACTTCTACCAAATCTACAAAACCTTTTTGAACTTAAGGCTGATGCATCTGGATATGCGATGGTTTTGTTCTAATGCAAGGAGGAAGAATTATTGCTAACTACTCCGAATTATTTCACGGGTCTCAAAAGAACTACCCAACTTATGATAAAGAGTTGTTGCCCCACACCAAGCCGTAAAACATTGACGTGTGTGTCTTTTGGATAAAGAAACGGTAGTTTATACTGATCATCTTACATAATCTTCTCCTATTCGAAGAAATGATTCATTGAAATTATGATACCTTGCTAAAAAATCGATCCTTGTTTACCAGCCACATATTATCTAATCAAATCCAATTCTCTCTCGATATGTTCCTAAAAAAATCCAATTCGTGCGGATTCTTCCCCCAACTAACGAAGAGATCTTGGCGGAATTACCACATATGAAATTGAGCACAATTTTGCCTTCAATACCTTCAAACATAGTCTAAATTACAACACGTTTATCACATGAAATGGATGACCTATTTTCAATAATTTAACTTGGTCATCAAATATAAAAAATGAGCTAAAAATAAACTGGCCGATATGCTATCTCAGTCGACAATAACAACACTTTACTTGTTTGTTGTAATGGAGATTCAGCCAAGTATACATGAAGAATATGTCAACATGTATGAATATGATCCAAATTTTAGTGATATAATGATTATAGTAAAAATGGAGAAATCATCGGAGTTTACATTGTGAGATGGATTACTCTACAAAGGATCATAATTTTGTGTTCTAAAAAAAACAAATCGTATACAATGGATGCGAGAAGCACATACTACAAAAGTAGCAGAACACTTTGAAGTAAATAAAACTGTACAAAATCTTCAACACTATGTCTACTAGCCTCAAATACAATAAGATGTAGCACATTTTGTTAAAGTGTGTGTGCTATATAGCACTTCAAAGCCATCAAATAAAAAGATTGGGTTTTATACACCATTACCAATTCTGAATAGATTATAGAAAAGTATCTCTATGGATTTCATGGGAGATCTACCAACTACTAAACGAGGATATAACTATATATATGTAATAGTAGATAGATTTTCCAAGATGATAGTACTTATACCATGCAAGAAAACCATCATGAGAGAAGAAACAACAAAACTTTTCTTCAAGAATATTTGGACACATTTGGGTTACCAAACTCTATTGTTTCATATCGTGATAGTCGTTTTCTTGAAAAGATTCTAGAGATCAATGTGGTCTATGATGGATACAAAGTTGAATAGAAGTACAGATTTTCATCCTCAAACTGATGGTCAAACTAAAATTATCAATCGGACTATTATACATCTTCTACGGGGGTATAAAACTCGACACCCTAACAGTTGGGATGAGAGTTTAACATATCTGCATTTTGCATTTAACAGAGCTATTCATAACTCCACTAATAAGTCACTATTTGAAGTTTGTCTTGGCTACTTACCACAAATCCATTTGATATTAAGTTTACACTTGAGCCATCATTAAAGGAAATGCAAGACAAGAATAGCCCCGAAAAGGTTCAAAAGTTCTTAGAATGCATTTGACGGGTCCATGATAAAGTATAAAAATAATTGCAGAAAGCTCAACAAAAATAAAAAAGTAGACATGATCGATATAGACTAAAAGGCAAATTCCAAGTGGGAAATCTAATATGATTACACTTAGGAAATGAGAGGTCAGAAGGAGAAGGTTAGAAGGAGAAGGCAAGAAATTGAAGCTTATTCGTTATGATCTTTTTAAAATTCTTAAAAAAGATTGGTAATAACGCATGCTAACTAAAATTACCTAGCTACATAGAAATATACTCTGTAGTCAATGTCGAAAATTTAAAAACTTTCAAACCATTAATGTTAGATAATGAACTTGAAGAAGTTATGCTTTCAATAAAAGATTTGCATACTAACAACCAGACCCCATTATTAGAAAATATTATCCTTGAAAAGAAAGTTACAAAAACCCATAAAGAAACAAGAAAAACATTTTGTATTAAAAAAAATGACAAAAACCTAAAACATCAAAATGGTTCGCTAAAAAAATAAGAAAATCTACATTTCTCAATCTCAAATTTTAAAATCCAACAGGATTTGGATCCCTTTAAAAAAAAAGAGAGTAATGTTCAATGATGATATTTTATTATTATTATTATTACTTAATTTTTATCTTTTCATTTTTAACTAAAATTTAAAAATAAATATATAATTTTAATTAATTTATTAAAAAATAAAAAAATATTAATTTATATGTTATTTTTAGAATTTACTTATTTTAATTATGTATTATTCTTATAAACTATTTAAAATTATATAAGAGAATTTCATTGTTAAGAATTAAAGTAGAAAAGAATGAAAGTTATATTTTCTTTTTCAAAGATAAACCTTCTCTCTATTTTCAATTAATATTTATTTGAAAGTTGTTAAGTTTTATCACTCCAGTATGTATCAATAGATGATATAGATCCAGGAGATAAAATTGCCGATGTTGCTCCTCTTCCACGGTTGACTATTTTAAGTTGCTTATTTGGTTCACATGGAATCTGACACTCACTTCTTTCAGCTGGAGATGTACTTTTGTCAGAAGAAACTGACAACACTGGAGCAGAAAGAGAGATTGTTGAAACGTCTTGCTGAGTAGTTCTTGTTTGGGGTTGTATACCTGATGAGTATAAAATATGAGTTAAACAAAACATAAATCTTATCACAAGTAAATTAACATAAGTAAATTCATGGCTGCACAAAGTTACAAGACACTGTTACATGCCAGTCATGTCTCGAACTACCAGTCTATCTGGCAGGTACTATCAGAAATTACTTGAGTAGGTAAAGGAACAAATTTCAAACTCCTTTGAGATGAACCAGATATCCATAATACCAACTGTCAACTACAAGGGACACAGGGAAATGAATGCTTTTCTTATGGAAAATGAATGCAGTATTATCATTTTCTTTTGGGGCTTTATATTAGTAATTGCTTTGAGATTGTTGCAATAAAAGTACCCAGTTCCTGGAAGTCTGGTTCGTTTGTCTTTTTTCTTAAGAGAAATACAAATTATTGACATTTCATGGTTCCCGGAAAAGAGTCAAAACCCTAGAAATTTAATACTCACTTCCAGAAGAATTGGTTTGCATTCAACCAGAGAAGATTGTTCTCTTTCCTTCAATTTATCTTTCATTAGCTTTGAGCTGATAATTTTGGTTTTCTGTATAATGATATTGTCACAGCCTCCGAGGCTTGGATGGCATCTTTAAAGCATGCTGAATAAAGAGTAAACAAATGCAAGTGATGAGATTTTTTACCATGTTCTGCAACTTCCTGAAACTTCTCTCTCATGATCCTTACAAATCTGAATAAGCCATTGGTACCATTTAATTCTTGAATCAGTTCTTTGATATCATTTACGTGGGGAGCACAATCCAATACTGAAAAGTTGAAGATATAACTATTACTAGAACATAGTAGTGTATTAAAATGGAGAAAATTAATACTAACAAAAATATAATACTTACAGGTATAGGTATCATTTGCATGGCGAACTGTGAAAAAATACTCTTCTTTTGGATTTTGTGGATTAATATCAGTGAAATTGAATCTGACTCCTACATAAACAGAGAGCAATCCTGAAATGACTCTCGGAAGAAAATGATAATGAAATATCAAATATCAAAAATAGTTTAATTACCATGTCCTCCCTCAATCTGAAGACCAAGAACCCGATAGTACCACAAAATACAATCCTGAGCGTCTGCTTTATTTTCAATGTCTTGGCTTGCCTTTTCTTCTAATGCCGCCAAAGCTATGAAATGTCACCCAAAGAAAAACCAGCATTATTAGTTGTATGCATGGTGGAGTGTGGAACAGCATAAAAAAATATTTATCAGAACAATGAAAAAGAATCAAAATTAAGCTGAGTCTATCACAAATCTATATCTTCAAATTCAGCAACTTGGTGACAATAATTTGTCTCATAAGAAAGATTAAAGAATATACAGGCATTATGTGCTCAAGAAAATGCCAGCTAGATTGAAGCAGACTTGACAAACAAAGGCAATGTGTTAGCCAGGATGATGAAAGTAAAATACATAACAAAACGTATTGGTGGTTCTTTTTTCTGAGATGCAGCATTTATTAATAAATTCGAAATTTTAAGCATCATGACTGAAGGGGCACATCTTTGAGCCCATCCACAATTGGCATCCATCACCTCTAATTAAATAGACTAAGTTTTGCTGCCATATCCACTAACAAGTATTTTCTTAATTTAAAAAAATTAAAAATAAATTGTTCTTTTTAAGTAAGCTTCAGGGTAAAATAATGAAGCAGACTTGGCAAACAAAGGCAATGTGTTAGCCAGGATGATGAAAGTAAAATACATAACAAAACATATTAGTGGTTCTTTTTTCTGAGATGCAGCATTTATTAATAAATTCGAAATTTTAAGCATCATGACTGAAGGGGCACATCCTTGAGCCCATCCACAATTGGCATCCATCACCTCTAATTAAATAGACTAAGTTTTGCTGCCACATCCACTAACAAGTATTTTCTTAATTTAAAAAAATTAAAAATAAATTATTCTTTTTAAGTAAGCTTCAGGGTAAAATAATCTATTCAGATCTTACAAGAATTTACAGTGAAGAAAAAGGTAAACTGCATAAGCCAATGAAGATTTATTGACACAACAAAAGCTTACCTAGAGATTCTTGAGATATAATTTCAGCATGGTGATCCCTCCTTGCCCTCTGCAACTGCAAAGTTCTTTTAAGTTCTTCTATTCTAGCTGTTATTGCAGAAAGGGAGTCCCTTGCTGCCATCTGCTTGGCCTCTTTACGGGTCTTCACTATACATAAACAGAAAAGAAAAGAATACTAGAATAATTAAAAGCATGATCCGTCTCTGCTTTTGAAGCAAAGTTGTGAAACTTATAACAGAGTGGACTGACAAAAGGCAAAGATATGCTATGCCAAATAGACTCACTCATTTCTGACAAGCAATGTAAGTTATATAACTAACAGATTTTCTGAATTATAATAGTTTTGCACAAGTAACAACACAAAGGCTTACAGTAAATGTTATACTGTTTCTTCAACCAGATAACTGATTGGGGAGGAGTAGCTCCACAAAATACAACTAACTTTATATATAGAATCGCGAGAAAGGAAATCATGAGGAGTCAGTTAGTCCTTAGCCCTCACTTTCTTCAATTAAGTGCATGTAATGCCACATTGGTCAGCTGATATATAGACTCTTTTTGTCTCATATAAAAAAAAGGTAAAGGATGAAAACATTGATCACTGCTATTATCAGCTTAGAGAAATAATAGTCTGCTCACTACTACATAGATAGACTGAGTACTATGCAATTTACTATCCCATTC